CTCCTGCTAAAGCAGGTTCTCCTAGAGCAGGTTGCACAGGACATTGTACAGGTGGGTTCTGAATATGCCCAGAGAAGGAGACTCCACTACATCTCTTGGGGAGACTAAGTTACTCACTGTTATTAGCAAATAAATAGAGGTATATAGCAAGTCTGATTACACAGGCCTGCTAAAAACAGCCCTCACAAGTTGCTGACTTCTATTTATTGATAGCATGTTGACATCACTTCTCCGCTGGTATTGCGTTTTTATAGCTAATTAAAACGCACCTTCTCCCCAGTCTGCACATACCAGAACACGCCGATATAGATGTACTTTCAGTGCTTCGTAATTACCAGAATTATATATGAACTGTAGGATTTACTAGGACTCCAGCATAAAGTAACCTGTATCCCAGAGGCAGACACAGACTGCAAAATCTGGCTTTGCTTACAGCTGTGGAACATTTGGAGCCAAATGGGTGGTTAGTACATTACAGAGATAGGAAAAAGTCATGAAATTCACATGTGCTTCGAGATCCAAATTCCATTGTAATGTTGGCATCTGCAAAATTGGACTTGTCATTTGGGACTATGTCTACTGTATGTTTTCCTTCTTTGAGGGAGGGAGAAATGTATACCCACCCTGGCTCTAACAGCATGGAAGGACTAAAAATCCGTAGGATTTAACCAGTTAGGTATTTTTTTGACCTGGGGAAGAAAATAGTTGGCATCAAGCTGTTGAAGCTGGCATCTATGCCACCTGTCTCTGCAAGGTTTGGGGCAGTTACCGTATCGGGGGTAGAATAGGCCATAGCAGCAGCTGTTTCTACTTAGCATTATCCACCAGTAATCTCTCTTGGATGTAAGGAGTCAATCTACATAGAGAAATCTTTAGAAAAAGGGGGATGCTATCAGCTCCTTTGCAAATTTACTTAATCTGGCATCAGTACGGAGCACATCTGAAAATCCAGCTTGAAAGCTTCGCTGCAAGTAGGGATCCAAGCTTGTAACCACCGCAACGGTTTTAAGTAAAGAAAAACTTTTGGAATACGCTAATTGCATCAAGTGTCTGGCAGGTTTTGAAAAATCTGATTCACCAAGAACTCTGAACTGTAGCATTTCCTTTGTTTTCCAAATGACAGCTCTTAATCTGTTTAGGCTTCCATTGCAGACTTTCTTCCATCCACGGAAATCCCTCCCATCTGCTCCAGCATCATTCTTTCACTTAATTGACTTATTTTCTCTAGATACTGATGTGACTGAAATAGTTTGATCTGATTTTCCTTTGCTTCTGACCTCACTGTTACATTTATACCCCCATGAAGCTTGTAACTGTGATCGACAGTGCCAGTTCCCTTTGCTATTAAAAATCATTATGCCTGCAGTAGGCAGGATGATCCATATTCTAGCAGAAGAATCTGAAACATGTTAGAGGTCCATCAGAGGAGAAACTATTTTTCTTCTCTCTTCTTTCTACCAGAGTCTTATAAATCATTCGGAAGAATGAACAATATACTTACTTTATATTTCGTAACTTTATACTTTTTGTCACTTGGGAATGAGATGGAAAGAAAGTATAAGAGTGAAATTTTAAAAGTGCCTCAGAGAATGAACATGCGGTAGAATATGATACAAAGACTTTCTAAACCAACATCTACCTGCACTGACCCAGGTAGGTGGCTACTAGTTTCAGGGTAGACTCAGTTTGTAGGAAACTTGGCCGACTACAAGGTTTTCTGTTGCATGGTATTGAAATGCTCTCAGAAGTGGAGAAAGAATTCTGAATTCTTAAATATTGCATTCAGGACTTTAAGGGCATGTCTAGAATAGATTTAGAGTTTATTATTAGCATTTCATTTTTACAGATGGCATGGAAAAAGACGGAAGAGGTTGTAAGAAAACTCTCTTCCTCTGCAGGTTCAGTGATTGGATTTACAAAGGCAGTTAGACGCCTACAGGTGCAGAGAGATGTCTAGGGGAGCTTCCAAAAGCAACTCAGTGATTGATGTCCCCAGTCTCACTGAACTCTGAAACGAAGGAAATTCCAGATCCAGTCAAGTGCTTTTACAACATCAGCAAAGAACTTCTCTGCTAGATATCTAATTATCTCTGTAAGATGGCCCTCAGTTAGCTGCAGATGGCCAGAAAAAGGAAAAGGGATGAAATTTTTTCCATTTTAATAAGTATATTCTGCTTCTGGGCTGGGAAAAGTTTTGTTTTTCTTCTGAGTGGATTTTCCGGCTATAGCTCTGACTCAAGTTACTCTGCCTTGGGGCCCTTGCTGCCTCAGTATGGCACTACGCAGCAGTAGTAAATAAGGCCTGGTGAGTGGCAGTCTCCATGGTGGGATTATTTACCCAGCGACATGATGTGTGTCTTCCCGCAGCGATGCCGCCACATCATTTCCTTAACTCCTTCACTGTCACCAGCTTCCCCTGGGGAGACGGGATGATGCTCTCTGACGTGTCGCCAGTTCATCTTAAAGAGGGAACTTTTAATGAGGTGGTGCCAGGCAAATGGAGCTACTGCCTGTCATACAAACTATCACTGCAGATATTTTTTCCTGTGAGTGTTACGTATTAGGGAGCACTGAGAAAATTATACTTACTGAAAGAAATCAAAAGCGTCTAATTACAGTGATCTTTATAGAGAGAGTTAAAGGATGCATGTCAAAAGGGACTGATATATAATTACGATAATATCAGCTGCAACTCCTGTGCTATCTAATTACTTGAAATGGGTGGCATTGTGCGATCTTTATGAAAGTGAGCTACTTTGATAACAAAATGATATAATCTTAATATGAAATAAAAATAAAATTGAAAGGAAAGTAAAATGAATATATTGGTAGGAATAATAATCAAAGAGGCAGCATGCAATGTGCTGGAAAGACAGCACAAACCGAAACCCACCGTCTCCAACCTCAAATCTGCGCTACACATTTGACTCACACTGTGTCAGAAACTGAGATGCTGCGCATGTTGCCTAAACTGGTAGCCAAACCCAAGACATTTCAGCATGACAAGAGAAGAGTCATAAGAAGTGGAGGAAGAGAGAAATAAAAAGAGGAAAGATTAATAAAAATGGGAAAGAGCATAAACCTAGCAATCAAAGTGTTAAACTCCTCCAGAGTTTTGATTGTCTGCACGTGTTGAGTTTGCTCTGGATCCTCTGAGGTACTCCAAACCCCCAGCTCCTGAGTAGGTGCTGGACCCTCCCAGATTCAGGCACTCAGACATCTTTCAAGACCAAGGTCTTTCTATTTCAGTTTCATGCTGGCTGTATTACACTGATAAAACCATCAGCAATACTGGATATAAATAAAATATTAAAGTTATTACTTTAATTTAGCATATATTTTGTTCATCACAGATGTAATTTAATTACACAGAACCCATATGTACTATAACATAATGCCATCTGTTGACAAATGACCTGGACACTGGAAAAACCTGATTTTTCTATTCATTAGAAATGAAAATCCTAGCATGTTCATGTGCAAGCCCACGGACCTGCTGGTAGGTCCATGCTCCTAATTATGGTGTAGCCTAGAAAAATCAACCATTATTTAAACAGTGACATCAACAGATTGTCAGTTATTAGTGGTTTCCAGATTTTTGTGACCACCACGGGGAGACACCGAAACTTTCATGGACACTGCATTATAGTCAGTCTTGTAATGGAAAATGAGACTGAAAGGTTTAATATTATTCTATTGACTCATTCATCTCATGGACTGCAGTTTGGATCACTTATTTAAGCTCTCATCATTTCATTTAATAATTCAATTAATAAAAGACACAATCTCATTTATAAGCTAGGTTCATGTATCCTTTCTAAAATTTTAAAATAAGAAAAGTAGAGTGGCAATTGGCTAGAATCCCTTGTTTACTGCAAGTTTGGTAAATACATTTCTCTGTGTACTGATTTGAAGAAGCTACTTCTTGTCTCATGCTTATTTAGGCAATCCATTCCCATGAGATCATACAGAATGAAAGGATCTGACATAACCATCTGTGTCTTTTCAAATTCATCATACTAATTCCTCATTTAATCCAATATTGTCACTTTTTGGTACAAAAACATGAAATACTTTTCTATCACATGAGTGTTTTAATTGCTATGCTTTTTTCCTTAAAGAAAACTGGATGTTTGTAACTCTTCCTCTGAGCTGTAACCTCACAACTACTTGCCACATGCATTGGTCTGTTCTGTCCTCTGTAACAGCTGCATACCGTTTATTCAGTAGCATTTAATGGAGATTGTGACTTTGTCCTCTGAACATGACCTTCCATGACCTTCCAAAGCAGTTCTACTGGAGTTCTTCCCTATCAGAAAAGGTTCCTCATAGCTATATCCTAGCAGCTTCCTGGCCTCTGTGGCTGTGGTGACTGTTTTATGTAGTGTTGCTTGACCAAGTGTGAAGTTCACTGACTTTTCTTTAATATCCAACTAAATTCCACCAAATTGATACTTTAAATCTCTGATGAAGATTGCCTTTTTCTGCTTTGTGTAGCATTTTGGTGTTGAACATCAAGGAGACAAAAGGAAATCTGAGTTTTTGAAGGTGATCATGGTTTCCACTGACAAATGTGTCTAATTACAATTAAAAAAAGGTCAGAACTAAATAACTTGAGAAAGAAGAATAAAATGCTTTCACCTTTGAAATAATTTTATATGATGTTTTGTTTATTTATGATGATTCAATGTAGGATCTGCTAAAAATCTTATCTAGTTTGCAAGGAGCATGGCTGAAATGATTAGCAGGATTTCCATGCAAGACTGTAAAAGTTTTTTTCCATAGGGGAGTTTTACTTGATGATATTAAGGTTTGATAAATAATATAAGGCTTATCATGAAACCTGTCATCTTCCAAAGGAAAAAAAAAACCAACCAAAAAACCAAGCAACACCTGCCAACGAGAAATAAGCCAGCAAAATATCCACTGACCACACTGCTGTCCAGGCTGGCAAAGCGGTCTCAACCACATTTCTGGCATCTACCAGAAGACTTTCTTACCTTCACCGCAAACTCTGTTTCTGTAGCTTTATGAACACATCTCTTGCACACTGAATAGGAGCCAATTCCTATGTCCTCCTTGATCTCGTATCCATCTGTAAAGTGAATGTTGT